CACAAACACACACACACACACACACACACGGTCACTGTGTCTGGATCAGCACTGCTTTATTTGCTTTATTGAGACCACTGGGTCACACATTCAGTTCAATTCTGTTCTGTTTTATCCTCAGCTGCAATTTTAAAGAAAGAAAGGCATCATCCCATAATAATACCCTAGCAACCACCATTAACACTAAGTAACAATGGAACACCCTAACAAACATTCACTTCACCCACAACATCCCATAATACCCTAGCAATGCCCTGGCAACCACCTAAAATACCCTTGGAACCACATAGAACATCCTAGCAACCACTCATAATACCCTAGAAATGCCATGGCAAGAACCCAGAACACTTTGGTAACCACATAAAATAACCTAGCAACTCCCTGGCAACCAACAATAATACTCTAACAATGCCCTGGCAACCACCCAGGACACTTTAGTTACCACATAAAACACTTTTGCAACCACTCACAACACCCTAGCAACCACCCAGAACATCACAGGAACTCCCTGGCAACACCCTCAATACCCTACACTGGCAACCCCCCAGAACACTTTAGTAACCATGTAGAACACCCTAGCAACCGCTCATAATACCCTAGCAACACCCTGGCAACCCCATAGAACACTTTAATAACTACTTAGAACACCCTAGCAACACCCTGGCAACGACTCAGAAAACCCTAGCAGCCACCCATAACACCCTAGCAATGCTCTGTTAATTATCCAGAACACCGTAGCGACCACATAAAACACCATAGCAAGTAGCAACCACCTAAAACACCCCACTAACACCCTGGAAACAACCCAGAACATCCTAGCAACCACTTATAATACCATAGGAACGCCATGGCAACCACCCAGGACACTTTAGTAACCACCTATAACTCACTACAATTCCCTGGCAACCACCTGTAAACCCCAGCAACACCTTGGCAACCACCCAGAACATCGTAGGAACTTCCTGGCATCACCCACAATACCCTAGTAATGCACTGGCAACAACCCAGAAAACTAAGCCATGTAGAACACCCTAGCAACCACTCATAATACCCTAGCAACACCCAGCTAACCACCCAGAACACTTCAATAACCCCTGGCAACTACCTACAGTACCCTAGCAACGCCCTGGCAATGCCCCAGAACACCCTAGCAACCACCCATAACACCCTAGCAACGCTCTGTCAATTACTCAGAACACCTTAGTGACCACATAAAACACACTATCAAGTAGCAACCGCCTAAAACACCCTAGTAACCACCTATAACCCACTAGCAATTCCCTGGCAACCACCTGTAAACCCCAGCAACACATTGGCAACAACACAGAATATTATAGTAACTCCCTGGCAACACCCACAATACCCTACACTAGCAACCACCTAGACAACCTTAGTAGCCATGTAGAACACCATAGTAACCATTCATAATACCCTAGCAACACCCTGGCAACCACCCAGAACACTTTAAAAGCCACTTAGAACGCAATAGCCACTCACTGGCAACTACCTATAGTACCTTAGCAACGCCCAGGCAAACACCCAAGCAACCACCCATTACTCAATAGTAATTCCCTGGCAATGACTCAAAGCACCCTAGCAGCCACCCATAAGACCTAGCAACGCTATATCAATTACCCAGAACACCTTAGTGACAATATAAAACATACTAGCAAGTAGCAACCACCTAAAACACCCCAGCAACACCCTGGAAACAACCCAGAACATCCTAGCAACTCCTTGGCGACCATTCACGATACCCTAGCAACCACTCACAATAGCTAGGAAATGCCGTGTCAACCAACCATCACCCAAGTTATCATCAACAAGCCAAGCAGGGTCTTACATTAGTATTATTAGCATTAGCGTGTGTTAAGTGAACATGAGTTCAGACATTCAGAACGTTCATTATGATGACGTGAATGTGTGAATATTAGTATGTGTTATGTAAATATAACTTCAGTCGTTATGTTGGCATAAACGTGTGAATATTAGCGTGTTAGGTGTATATGAGTTCAGATGTTCAGAGCAGACTCTATGATGGAGAGAATATTAGTGCAGCTCTCAGAGCATGCGAGTGCCTGGAAATTCCAGAGTGAACGGCGGCATTAATCTGATTATTTCCAGACGACCAGCAGAACAAACTGTTGTAGTGATTCTGTGGCGGGAGTTTCCTGCCGTTCTTAAAGAGACGGCGTTTGACTGGACATCTGAACACACTCACTGTATCTCTGATCAAACACACATTTGTGTTCGAGTCACACACTTCAGTGAGTCACTGTGATTGTGATTTGTTCCAGAAGGATCTATTACATGCCCGACTGAACCAAGCACATAAAGCAGGTGAATATAAACGTATGTTGTTGCATAAATCCTGCTATGATGTTCCAGACGTGTGTGAACATGCAGCACTAGTGGATCAGAAGAGCACAGGAGGAGCAGAAGCTCTGAATGTCCTGCCACACAACACACACACATTCAGCAGATTCCACTGTAGGAACATCTGTACACACACACACACACACACACACTCACACACACACACACTCACACACTCACACACAC